CAAGGTAATTTCTCAAATTAATTTCTCTACTAATTGGAATTTTCTCTTATAGCTTGAGCCTAAGTGTGTCGCAGGATACCCTCTAGGTGATAGTTTTTGATTACTTTTTGACAAATAATTCGTTCTTATTGCGAAATAGGAGCACTATTTATCAATCTGTAATAAAAAAATTTTGAGGCGAAATACCCAAAAAGAAGTTTGTATAAAAAGATGTTAACTGATTTAAAATTTGTCCGAAAGAAACCGATAAGAATTCGGTTCATATCTTAATCTTAACTGAGACTCTCCATTTTTGGAAAATCATCCACTTTTGGAGTCGGACAAATTCTTGTAAATCCTCATCCTTTTACACCCGGAATCCGCAACAAGATTTTCTGTGGATATTCTGCAGACACTTTATAAGCTGTGGGCGTTCAGACCAACTTCATCAATTTTTCTTAACTCTTGAATTTCTTTTGTTCCAGAAATGATCCTCTTGACGCATCAGTATGAACAACAGCGACTTTTCCTTGGTCGTAGACTGGGTAAACTGGACTTACGTTAATCTCAGCAGTAACTGGACCGATCCAGAAAACGAGGCATGGGAAAAATGGACCGAACTGATCCAGAATCGAGCTGTTCTTGTTTCCATGCTGCTGTTTTTTTCGTTGGGCACGGTGTTCGGGAACTCTTTGGTGGTAGCGGCCGTAGTGCGAGAGAGATATTTGCACACGCCAACAAACTATTTTATTATGTCCTTAGCTGTAGCTGATTGCTTAGTGGGATTAGTAGTGATGCCTTTTAGTGCGCTCTATGAAGTGCTCGGACACACGTGGTTTTTTGGACCAGACTGGTGCGATATTTGGAGATCACTGGATGTTCTCTTTTCCACTGCGTCTATTTTGAACTTGTGTGTGATTAGTTTGGATCGATATTGGGCGATTACTGATCCCATCGCATACCCAATGCGTATGACTCGGCTCAGATCTGTAGTTCTAATAGCGGCTGTTTGGATCTGCTCCAGTGCCATCTCCTTTCCAGCTATACTTTGGTGGCGGGCAGTTAGGACTGAACCCATCCCCAAATACAAATGCCCCTTCACTGAACATTTGGGCTATTTAATATTCTCCTCCACTATATCATTTTACGTGCCGCTTTTCGTGATGGTTTTCACATACTACCGTATTTATAGAGCCGCCGTGGCGCAAACAAGAAGCTTACGACTTGGTACTAAACAAATTCTTATCGGAGCAGGTGAGCTTGAGCTCACCCTTAGAATTCATAGGGGCGGAACGTGTAAAACTCCTCAGACCGAAAACCGGAATCTGTACAGTACTGCTGAAGATGAACCTCTGACCGCTCTGGCAAATAATGGCCTTAATAGAATACCTTCTACCCGTTTAGGCACACACAGCAAGAACTTTTCGCTTAGTCGCAAGCTGGTGAAATTTGCGAAGGAAAAGAAAGCTGCTAAGACTCTGGGAATTGTAATGGGCGTGTTCATAGTGTGTTGGTTGCCGTTTTTTGTAGTGAACTTGCTGTCGGGGTTTTGCCTGCAGTGCATTTGGCATGAGAAAATTGTCCTCGCTGTTGTAACATGGCTTGGATGGATCAATTCCAGTATGAATCCGGTGATTTATGCTTGTTGGAGTAGAGATTTTAGAAGGTAAGTTTATTTTAGTTTATTATAACGGCTGACTCAAAATTTAGATTTTAATCAAAAAATACTGTTTTTAATTATATCATTTTGCTAATAAAAATTGCTCAAGGTCTGTGCCTTCGATTCTCATTTTGGTTATCATTACACTTGCTATGCGTATTGAATTTGTAGCCACTCATTAAACTTTTTAATTACTAATTTAAAGTAAAGAATAAATACGTAAAAAGTTCTGCATGGTTTGAACATAAAATGTACCATCGTTAGAATTATTTTTTTCAGTTGTTCACAAAGAGTCTGGAAAAATACGAAATTGGCTCAAGAACAAAGTAGTTTTTTGGCAAAAGCAAAAATTGCCACCACAAAAAGGAGAGCAGATCTAAGATCTTTTCTAAAATATACAAATAATTACTTCGATCTGCTCTAAAAAAAACAACTTTTAGAATATTTTCAAAAAAATATCTTTATTTCCATATTACAAATATTCTTAAAATTTTTATATTTTGCAAAATAAATAATTTTCTGATATGAAAGCAATATAATTTTGGAAAAAATATAACTCTTCTACCTTAGATCGATGTACTTTCAAACGTTAACGTAGTTTCACTTTTTGTTAAACTTTTTCGTATGATACTTTTCGATCTTTTCTAAAACAAATTACTTTGCGCTTGAACCCAATTAATACTCTGCAAAATTTTGTATACATCTGAAAAAGAGTCAAATGGGGGAATTGTAGTTTTGTACGATGCAAAATGACTCTCGTGAAAAATAATCTTTTTCTTAAAGTTAGTAAAAATAATTTTTCTATAAGCGTGTGGAAACGCAGTAGATTTAGTGTAGTTGTGACAAGATACTATTGATTAATCTCGAGCGAAAGAAATGCATTATTTTGCATCTGAAATATCCTCAAAATTGAATTGAAAATATTGCGAAGAGTTTATTCAGTTTAAAAATCGTTCTCTTAGCCTTTATAACAATAATTTGCAAAATCGACCATTACTTTTGTATGGTATTTCAAATAGCTCAGAAAACCTGGATAAATCGTCCAATTAGTTTTTAAAAGGGATTTGTCGAGTGATATTGACTTTCCCCAGTTAAAGCTTTTATCGTATGCTTTATATTTCTCAATAAAAGGCCTTCGGATAGTTGCGTAAAGAAAAATTGCGACGTGGCTCTTAAATATGAAGCAAACATTTGTTGTTTGCTAGGTAATTATACAAGAAAAACGAACATTTTGCCGAGAATTAAAAGGGTATTATTCGGTAAGTACAGGCAAAGTATTTTGAAGTAGTAGCACGTCTGAAAAGCGAGGTATTTGCATGCAACTGAATCTTAATAAGGTAACAGTATAACTTTGAAACTGGTATAGAAGATCTTTCTCATTTACATAAAAAAAAGAGTTTATCTTGGCTAAGTAAATCGGCAAAAGAAACTAACATTTCGTCTTAACTCAGCAAGCAGCTTAACTATAAAAAATGATGAAAACATTGTATTTTGAACAATTTTTGTTGCGAAATTTAGCTTGGCTAAAATCTAACCCACTTAAAGGCGTAAGTAGTCCAGTCGGATAAAAATTTTTTAATGCACAATTGACGTAAACGATTATTAGAAGCCTTTCGGCAGGTCGTCAGAATATTGAATCAATACAACATTGTTTAACTAATGAAAGAATGTGCGAAAAACGTTTGTTGTGCATAACTTATGAAATGATGATGTTATTGAAAAAAAATTCATACCTTGCTTAAGTATTAAAATGCCTCAAAAATGAACCAAACTAAATTAAAAACCGTTAATTTGCATGCTCAACTAACCAAAAAATACCTCCGAGATTAAACGTTTTTTAAATTTGCTATAACTATCTATGCTTATATTAATCGGTGGTTTTATTAGTTTTTTTTTTAATGATGATGATAAAATGTAATTTAGTTTGCTTTATATTGTAGGTATTTTTAATACTTGAATAATAGGCATCAACTTTTTTTTCAATAGAATCTACTTTCAATTGATAGATATTTTTAAACATTATTAATATTATATATTTATTAAATTGATTTAAATAAAATAATCGGATTTGTGCAAAACTTTGGAAATATGAAACCAATTTTTGTGTGGCAGTATTCAGTTTTCATACGTGCTTTATGAAACTGATGAAAACATGGTTTGTTGGCCATCATAGACAGGATTTCTTCCTAAAATGTTTAAAGATGCATTTCAGAAAACTACCCAAGATGGAAACCACTCGTGCTTGGCAAACGTCAAGAAGAAATTCTAATTTGCGAAGGACTTTAAGCCTGAAAATTCCCCAGTTTCGGAATGTAATTTTCACTCCAAAATCGCTTTTAAACATTGAAAGCAGATTTGAATTGCTTAAAAGTCTCTCTCAATTGGCCCATGAAATTTATCCAAAAATTATGATTTTGCTTGTTTTAGTTTCGACAATTTGGAGGGTACTATATTCATATGAATGCTTAACTTGGAAATTAATTTCTACTAATGGCCGAAAATGTACGAACTTTGTTTTGTATGAGAGTTTAAAGTTTTCACACAAAAATTGTATTTTAAACACTGAAAATCAGATTTAAACTGCTTAGCAGCAATTTATTAATATTATTACTGTTAATATTTTGCGATTGTTTGAGTATAGTCAGTTTAGGTGCTTGTAGGGAGTGAACTACTTGTTGCAAAATGAAGTTTTATCGCTCGAACAAGTTGAGGCTGTAGATCGAGCCATTTCATTTATATAAATTTCAGTAACGACCAAATGATACTGAATCCGTAATTGAGCAATTGGGAATATGCTTCCAGCGGTCTATAAATTTAAGTCAAATCGATTGGTTTTATAATCCCTATTTGTCGCTAAATTTAGGATTTCGCTTTGCATTAACTTCTTTTTATAATATTTGTTTGAAATAATAATGACATTATTTACCTAATTTGTCAAAAATCTTCTAAGTGATGGAATAATTTTGATCGTTTTAAAATATTAAGTAGAGATTTAAATCCAGTTTAATTTATATTAGTAACCCAACATTTTCAATTTTGTGCAACTACATACGTCTATGAATCATTAGCTTTCTTTTTGTAACTCTCGCTATAATTTAAACGGGGTTTTCAGTAAAACTATTATATGTTTAATGGAGTAGTATTCTACACCGTAATCAAACCTCTCTTACGACTTATTCGTCCAAACTCAACTTTATCTGCATTTCCAAGCAATAGATAAGAAACACAATTTTACGTGTTCAAGTGAACATATTTACTAGATTCAAAATATCACAGTCTGATACGAAAAGCAATCTTACCGTACTCTGTATGCGAGATAAGGTAAGGATGCGATATTTAAGATTTAAGTCAGACGAAAAACGGGAGGCAACGGTTTTCGTCGAAATTATCACTGAAGAACGCGATATGTAATATTTATGAAATAAACCGTGCGGAAAAGTCCCAGCAGTAGTAAAATATAATACACCAGAAAATATGATACAGTAGTTATGTTGAAAAGTATTGGGTGAGCTCCGCTTCATGCCTTTAAATTATGATGCCATCACGGGTTTATGAAAGAACAATGACGGAATTTATGAAATTCTAGTGTTTTAAGGTTTATATCCAGTGATTTAAATATACGTTTTCGTAAAAAAAATCACAAATTGTATCCAATTTACATATAAACTAAGCCAAAGTAATAGTCACCCTGGTATGTTTTAAAGCTTCGACTTTTAGAACATTATGCCTTTCCTGTGCCCTTCGAAGGCCCAGTTTTTATTGATAAACCAGAAACTTTTGCCAAATGGCGTTCAGGAAAATGTAATGGGCAATTAGGTGAAAGGTGATGCATGAGTTATCGTGAATCGACAAGAGGTGTGCCTAAGCTTGAAGGATACTTTTTAGCTTAGATTTTTAGAGAAATTGAACTTAATTTTTTAGTTTCAATATTTTATGCAGCCTTGCGGCAAAGATTATTCAAAGAACTATAATAAAATTAACAACAGCAACATAATTTTATCATTAACTGAATCAACTGAAAATACACCAATGACTTGTATGTAAAGCAGATAGTTGATGAGAGAAGTTCGTATTTTAGGACTCTTGGAGGATTAATGTGAAACAGATTTTTGAGAATTTGCAAATAAAACTGCAATATAAATGGAAAAGTAATTTAGCGAAGATGAAATGTCTTGTAAACCTTTGTATGCCTTTGTAAACCACATTATTGTAAAATAATTATGTGCTTTTTGCTTAATTAAATCTATTGGCATTATGTTGACAGCGTATAAACACAATAGCCTAATAACAAGGTTTGATCAGCGGATATTATCCTTCTCACTGCAAAGCAAACGGCTCTATTCAGCTATCGGGTAGGCGTTTAAGCATACTTGGAATTGAGACCCTAAGGGTACAAAATTAATCACGAAATAAATCTTAATTAATATGCCACAGGTTGTCTCCTACATATCTGCTTTCAATATTACCATCCAATATTTCGGTTAATTCGATAGCCAACCGACGATTCAGTTGAATTTATATGAGGCAATTCATTTGCAAATGTGAAAACCTATCGATAAAATTAGCTACTAATATTTTCGTAAATACAGCAGAAAGGGCGGAAATCCACCCTTAAGCAATATACGATTTGAGTATAATAAATTACCATTAAATAGACGTTTAATCTGAAAAAAAAACGAGTGGCAAAAGTCAGGATACGCGTGACCATTCATCAACACGGAAGGCATGCCATTTACGCACAGTCATTCTGCCCTCAAAATGCAAATTTTCCAATCTTAATATTCATATTACTTTGCCAGGAATTTAAGAGTCTCTGAAATGTGATTTCTACCTGATAATTTACTTTCAAAAGTAAAAAAGTCGCTGTTCTTTTCTAGCTGTGTGTGGACAGAATGAGTCAGTTTGAATTTCTTAATTGTAAATGCATTTGAGCTCGTTTTCACCTTAACTATGGGCGATCATGATTGACGAGCCGATTTAGTTGAAATCTGAAATTGTTCAGAGTT